GACATCAGACGCCTAAATATATAAGTAAAGCTTTTTTCAAGAGGTAACTTTTTGTAGAATTTTTCTAAATCAATCTTAAGCATATTAATTCCTGACTTTTGTAGTGGACGTTCTTTTTTATCGGCAATGAGTTCACATGATTGGGTGGTTCTGAAACTATGACACTCAAAGATAGCTGCATAAGAAAAAATGTTTAAAAGCTGGCTATTTACGTTAAAGCTTTTAAGATATATCTTATTTTGAAGGTTTTGGTGAGCACATAGAATATAATCATTATTTGTGCTCAATTAACTGAAGCCAGGGAATATTGTAAAGTCATAATTAGAATTTCAAGGAAGATCTGAACGTCTTCGTAATCGAAATCTCAAAATAATTACAAAAATACTTGGCGGAAGGCAATTACTCTTGCACACTAAGAGTACAATTACTATTAGTGTAAAAATTAAAATTCCAGTTGATAGCATGACATCCTGGCGGTGTATTGACCACCGTCGAACGACCCACAGTCAGGCACTAGCCTGATAGATGAATTTGAAGCATTTGGCGTGCGATACAATGTCATGATTATGGGCGACTTTATTGCTCCGCATATCGACTGGAACCTCAGATCCGCGACCGGGTCAGAACTAAGCTTCGATCGCCGACTCCTACACACGGTACAAAAAGCCTTTCTATCACAACACGTCTTATCTCCGACCAGGCTGCGTGAAGGGCAACAAGCCAACTGCCTGGACCTTGTACTGGCAAAAGCGCCTGACAGTGTAGACGTCGTAAATTGTTTACCTCGGAAAAAGCGACCATGTAGTACTACAGTGGTAGTATTCACTCTTCTCTGTACCTGATCCTAGCGCGACCGTCAGACACAACATATGGTGCGGAAACTTTACTCATATGAAAACCGAAGTGCGCAGGTTATACTGGAAGGAGACATTTACCGGGTGTGTCCACGGGCATTGGTCGGCGCTTAAGGCTGTATTACACGGACTACTCACCGGATTCTGCCCCATCTCGAAAACGAAAGCCACAAATAGGCCCCAATGGCTAACGAACACACTGCAGAGGGAGGCGAATCGTCAACGAAAGCTGTGCCAATCATATCGTAGAGAGAAGGCCACCGAGTCACAAAACAAGTACAAGACGCAGAGAAATAGGGTTAAGGGCCTTGTACTAAAAACTCGCCAAAGCTTCTAGAGTGACTTAATAAACCATGCAGTAGGAAATCCATATGTCTTCTATAACTACAATAGCGATGCACTCGAAATAGAGACTCAACCCCTTTGTTAAAAACAGATGACGGTTTCGAAGTTTACGAGAACGAAGCAAAGGCTGAGCATCGATCCGGGTTCCTTCAGTCGGTTTTTACGAGGGAGGTCGAGCTAACAGCTACCAACTTCGGTGCAGAGGAGATTCCGAACATCGACTCAGTTAAGCTCACGGAAGTTACTGTTCTGCAAGAACTTCTAAAGCTCCAAGACACAAAGTCGCCAGGTCCGGATGGAATACCTGCAAAGCTGTTGAAAAAGCTAGCCGTGGAGTTGACAGGACCCCTGTACTTACTCTTCCGGGCCTCCCTTAATACAGGTCAATTGCCACCCGATTGATAGACCGCGTGGATCTCATCCATACACAAAAATGGGAGTCGGGCGTCCACAAACAACTACAGGCCGATAAGCCTTACTTCCATATGCTGCAAGATTATGGAACGAATAGTCAAAATAGAGTTGACGCAGTTCTTAGAGCGTCATCGACTTCTTTCTGACAAACGGCACGGATTTCATAGAGGATGGTCCTGTTTAATAAATTTGCTCTACTTTCTAGAACAATGGACCTGAGCACTCGATCAAGGAAATATGGTGCACGCAGTCTTCGTAGAATTCAAGAAGGCGTTTGACACTGTGCCTCATCAACGTCTCCTATACAAGCTCA